GGACGCGGAAGCCCCGCCCCGCCCCGCCGCGCACTTCCCGCCGCGGCCGCGGGCGGAAAGACTGACCGTCCCCCTCTGCTTTTGTGCCACAGAGGACGGGCGGGGCCTCGAGCGAGCGCTCTCCGAACTGACCTCCGAAACCGACGTACCCGTTGTGTTCGTGGGAAGGAGAAAGCTAGGCGGCCATGGTCCGACCCTGAAGGTGGGTAGGGGGGCCTTAACGTTTCTTTCACCCGCCGGAACTGGGAAGGGGCTCCTCGAGCCGGTGGTGGTCTTGGGCCCTGCTATCAAATCCCGGGCAGTTGTGAGCGAACCTCCAAACGGAGCACAGCCTTAGAAAACGACGCAGAAACGCGAGGGCCAGCTCACGTGGTTATCCACGTTGGTGAGACATTTCAGAACTGGGAACCTTGCAAGGGCATATGTACCTATTGTCACCTTTTAAAATAGGTTTTAAAATTGTCCTTTTCTTTCTAGTTCCCTTCCTCTTTTCCTCCCGATAAATCTAAGTAACAAAAATTTTTAGCATCAGTGTAAACTGCTTAAAGTGAGTTTTTTAGGGAAGTACTGAGAAAAGTGGCTCAGGAAGTGCTTATCTTTATCAAGCTCTAGCGTCTTCCCCTTTAGTTCTCAGGGAGGGAAACCTAGAAACCCTAGGCTCAGGGGAGAGCAACCCAGTAAGCTCCTAGAATGAGTTCATTTCCCTTTAGGTGTCTTTTTACTAGCCCAGAGTTAACAGCTGGGTAGAAGGAAAGGCGAGAAAGAAATCTTTCCTCTGGCTGGTGGCGGGGGTGGGGTTGCAATCATCCCTTAGGACCACCCACGAAGGGTGGGTGGGTCATGGTCTAGCTTATGGGCCAGGCGACGGTAGGCTGGGTACGACATAGATAATGTTCTACATCAGGTGTGGTTACCAGGTTAGAGCCTCGTAATACCTTGATACATCTCCTTTAAGTTCTGCTGATGATTTTTTTGTCCTCGTCCTTTTGTGTCTGTGTAATTTTTAAGAAATGTCACTCATACTTGAACATTGCCTTCTTAGAAGTGAGCTTGAGGTCTCGGTTAAATGTAAAAATGTATTTAGATGTGTGCATCTTTAGGAAGGATATAACACTTTGCACCTTCATTTACTATTTCTATCTTCTAAAAGAATCTTATTTACCGTTTTGAAGAAAGGGTATGGGGAATGGAGATAGACTTCAAAGACAAAAACAGTAAATTGATGGAAAATAATTAAAGGAGATAAAAAGATTTTTAGCTTGATATAAAGTATATTGTGTTATTCAGACCTTTAGTTTGCAAGTAGAGACAGTTCTACCAATAGTCCATCCTGTCTGATCTCTTTTCTCCACCTGTGTCATAAATTTGCACTTAGAAAGTTGTATAGGCATTTGATCTTTATATAAATTCTATAGATGGTCCTGGTTTTAACACCAGTGGGAGTAAAAAAGATCACTTTTTATAAGCTTTGCACCCACTTTATTTATTGATAAGATCTGATGTTTTCAATGCTATATGATCATAGTTAATTTCAGACATCTAGTGATGTGAATGAATGAAAAGCATGTCATCAAGTTATAATTAAAATTAAACTATTTAGCACATCTCTTCTAAGTAAATTTACCACTCTCCTGTCTATCATTTATCTTTGGTTTTTAATGACTACTAAGAAATGAAAGAAGACAAGAAGATAAGGAGTACTGCTTTGAAATATTTGTGAATTCCCAGCCAATTGTTGCACACATTTGGGACTAAATGGTAGGTTCTGAAATTCTTTAGGGAACATTGGGTTTGAGTTGAGAAAGGCATTTATTTAGTGGAGAAGTGAGTGATTATAGGATTAGTGTTATAATCCTGAAGTCCGTACCTTAAAAAAGGTTAAGATTTCCTACTTCAGCTGCAACATAAATAATGGAGAGGGAGCTCATTAAAATGTCTGCTTTTCCTTTCTCCTCTTAATGTTTTTTCTACCGTTGTCTTCCTTAATAAACAACAGCAGCCTCAAAACCTACCTTGCTTTCACAGTGTGCTGTAGAAGACAAAGGTGATCCTATTGGAAGGAACTGAGAAATTTAGATGACTACCTACAGGACAAAGGCTTTAAAGAAGTATGTTTCAAAGAACTGTAGTCTGTGCACCACCTGCACAGAATCCCCTGGGGTGCTTGTTAAACATGCATGCCTGGGCTTTTCCTGAGATCTTGTTCATTGAAGCCTCTGGAAGGGGCTACGATCTGCCTTTTCAACAAGCCCCCTCAGGTAATTCTTAGGATAAATATCACATCTGAGACTCTAATGTATAAGGTAGTTTGGCCACGATCAGTTGCTAAATAATTATAATCGAGGAAAACCAAACAGAAGACTACTCTTTAGTGCCTAAAAGATATTAATTAGAAGAGAGCAAATAGTAACTCAACAGGTGAGTAACACTTTGTATCTGAATAGGAAATGGGAAGTTATGCTATCTTTGGCCAGGGCTTGTATGTCCATGTGTGAAATTGGAACTAGTGTGTAAATAAATTCTTAAGAACTATAAGTAGAGTTCTTACTGCACAAAGACATACACTTCCATAAAAATTTTAATAAGAGTAAGTTTGCAAATTTTCTTAGAGGAATCCTCTTTTATATGTAAATCAGTGTCTCCAGGATTCCAGCATTTTGAAACCGGTATGAAATGAAATGAATTGGTGGTATTGAGAGGAAAAGCAAAGTGAGTAAAAAAGTGCTTCTTGGAATATTAAGTGCCAGGCATGGTTAAGACTTCAGTAGTTTGAGGTAATAGACTTGGGAGATAAGACTAAAACTTGCAACATGGGGCTTAATTTCTTGCAGGTAATAATAGGGATGATGGACACAAAGGAGTGCATGATTCACATCCAAGTGAATTATGGAGACAGTGTGGGAGGAGCTTAGGGGTAACCAAGTTTTAGTCAGGCTGGGGGCTCCACACTGGGGGCAGATAGAGGGGTGTGTATGTGGGGGTTAGACACTGAAACAAAGGCAGGGCTCCTTTCAAGTCTAACTTTTAAACTTAACAGAAACCAGATTCTTAAGTGAATAGATAGGAGAAAATGAGTAGTAATTTAATAACTCTCCAGCCATTCCCTTTCCTTCTTAATACTCTACCAAAACTGGCAGAAAACTTGATTTCTTTTGGTTCTTTCCTCTGAGGTAATCCCTTCTGCGGAGATTAGTAGTGTGTGTGCTTTTTGGCCTAGTTGTTAAGGTTGAGGCCTAAGGAGAACTGAAGGACTGCTTTGGGGATGAGGGAAGTGACTGGATTCTGGTTTGTGTAAGAAGGCAAGGGATAAGGACTGATAAGGTTTAAAAGAGGCATAGATTGTTAGGAATGCAAATAAGTTTGCGTGGTGCTGATTCTGTAGTAAAATTTTTCCTAGTTGTGAATCTGTGTTGAGACGAAGTGCTTCTTCCTCCTACTTAAACCAAGTGACAACACCAAGCTCTTCTTTGCTGGGTGTCTGTTCTTTTACAATAGTGTCACTGTTCTGGTCCTGGCTTCGAATTTCCTCTCATCTTCTGTCTGTCCATTTACCCGGCCCTGACTGTCTCCCACAGAGGTGCCTACCGCCTCTGTTACCTTTCGCCTAGGCTACTTCAGGTCCTTATTTCCTCTTGCCTAAACCATTTCAGTGGTCTGTAACTGGCCACCTGCATCACATTTCTCCCCTTCAAGTCCATCTGGTGCACAGTCATCTTCCTGATCGCTTCCTCACTGCCCCCAAATCTGCTCCCAGGTTAAAGTGCACCTTCCTTGGGTTGGTGTTCTGTGTCTTCCAGGGTCTGGCCCCAACCTGCTTTTCTGGTTATCTCCTGCTCTCCTCCTTACCTTCTGGAAGCTTGTGGGAATGCTGTTGCAGCTGTAGTCCCCAAAATGGCCTTCCTTTGTTCTGTTCTTTATTTCAATTCCTGACTTCTCTTTCCTGCTCAGACCCACTTTTCCAACTGCCTACCAATTTCAGAATACAAGGCCAGATTAGCCCATTCTTTCCCTCCTCTGTGCTCCCACAGCACTCCCACAAATCCTTATCTCTGGAAAAAGGGGGACCTTACCGATGGTAAGGTTTTGTTTACATATCAAACGTGGAGTTAGACTTTTCTTTGTGCCTGTGATCCCAGTTCTGTTTAGAGCTCAGCAGATACTTAAATGAACATGCCTCTTAATGATAGTAGCTATTAATTGAATGTCTACTGTGTGCTAGCCTCCAAATGCTGTAGTACCTAGTTGGTTGAATCCTCACAGTAGTCCCAGAAGGAAGTGGTATCATCCAGTTTTACAGAGGAGCAAATGGAGGCCCTTAGAATTTAAGAAATATGCCCAGATGACACAGCTAGTAAGGTGGCAGGAACAGGAATGGAGCCCAGGCCTGTTTATATAGTTCACTCTGATGTACTCACACTTCTGGCACTTGGCTTTGTGTTACCACTATGAGGATACGTGCCTGATCTCCCAGGGTGATTGTGTGCCCATGATTCAAGGCTGAGCCCATGCAAATCTTGGTATTCCTAGCATAGCTCTGGCAAATTGGCATGCATGCGTAAGATGCTTGCTGAATGGAACTGCATTCCTTTGTGCCTACCAAACTGTACATTCCTTTAGCACAAAAATGATTTGTTTTTGTATCTTCCATGTGTTTTCTGAACATCCTGTATGCACTCAGTAAGTATTTGTTGAGTGAATGGATAATGGTAGGGCCCAAGGAGACTCACTTCAGTGAGGGGTTTAGCTGCAAGGTGTCTGATTTTGTGAAGGTGGACTGTCTCTGTCAGGGATTAAGCCCTACATTGCTCAGGAGAGAGCCTGGGCAGTATATAAAGCAGTTCGGAGCAGCACTCCCCGCCCTGCAGCAGTTTGTGTGTCTGTGTCGTGGTCAGCTGAGAAAAAGGTCATATTACATCTATTTAGCTATTGCTTATTGAGCCACCTGTGTTTTCGACATTGCGCTGGGCCCTGCCTGTCATCTCTAACATAAGTCTGTAGGGCGATGTATATATTTTAAAAAACATTTGTCAGCAGATGTCTGTCTGTGATTTTTACAGAGTCACAACCACTCTGTACGACAGATAGGAGATCCAATAGACTCATACAAATGAGGAAATTCGAAAACTGTGAAGGAAGCAAGTGAAAAGTATAATAAAGCACTAGTTTTAATTTTAACCCAGGCCTCCAGAGCTGAGTTTTTTCAAGGCTGTCTCCTTTAGAAGCCCCATACCCAGTGCTTTTTATCCCCAGTCCATCAAAAAATGAAGCTCCTGGTCAGTGTCAATTTCTGAGGTGTCACAGGAGAGTTGATAATGGCTCCTATAACCTGAAAGGTTCTGTTCTCTTCATCTCACACCTTTGTTTATGTTCCTTCTTGAGACTTGGCAGGTCAGCCAGCACTCGGTTTTCTGAAGTGTCAGTTAAGTGTATGACTTGACCACAGAGCAAGGGCAGAGTTTTTATATACTCTAAGGTATTTCAGTGCGTGGGTCTAAATTAGTTTGTGGGACTTGACAGTCATTTTGTCTTTTACTTCAACAAACAACAAAGCCTGCTTATTTGAATAGAGCAGTTATTCAAAGCCTCTTTTGGATACCAAGTTTTTCAAAGAATCTGTGGAAATTTAAGGAGCCATTCATGAGGAAAACATACATAAAGAATTTTGCATATAATCTCAGACTCTTCGTGACCTGCTGCAGAATACCTAGTACAGTGGTTTACCCTTCAAAATACTATACATACTTCCATTAGTTGAAATCTTAATAAGCTTTAAAATTACATGGCAAATTTATTTTCACTGGTAGTATAATGAAATACGTTCTGTACTCCTTATGGATTTAGCCTTGAAAATATTTTTCTGTTCCCAAAACAACATCCAGGAGTGAAGCTACTAGTTTGTATACCTTTTTTTCTGTTTAGAGTCTAATGTTTTATTAAAAATTTGCTATCTTTGGGATACTGATGATGTATTAAGTACCTACTCAATAGTTGAAAATATTGTCAGAACCATCACATAATTCTCATTCAATATGTACAGTAACTTTATAATGTAAGTAGTTATTCCCACCTTACAAACAAGGAAACACTAATAGTTAATAGGTCAAGATTGGAACTCAGGTTCGCCTCCTTCCACTGTCCATGGTCTTTCCAGAAACTCATTTTAAAAACACACAGATACCTGCCTTGATCATAGCAAAATTTGCCTTTAATACTGAAAAACCAAACAAAGCAAAAATGCACATACAAACATAAAAACCTTAAAGGAAATTAAGATGAAAGAGAACACAAACCTAACATCCTGATACTCTGGCAGATCAGACTAGGCTTTCACCATGTCTCTTCACAGCTGAGTGTTCAACAGATACCCTGGCAGGATGAGGGGAGAATAACTGCTGGAACGGAAAACTGTAGGGAGGCGGCTAATAGCAGGATACGTTTATCTGTCAGAGTGTGGGACTTGAACCTGACTTGTTCCTGGCTTTGGCTGAAAGTCTCTTACGTATCTATTTGTTGTAGATTAATCGGGCAATAATAACCCTACTAGAAAAGATAGAGGATCCTGTGTAACTTCTTTTTTCATTTGATTGTAGAGAGACCTGTAACATCCACCTATCCCATCATGTTTATGTTGAACGCGGGGTGTGGTTTGTGGGAAAGAGCTTAAGAATTCTTTGAATGAATGAATCTCTGAACTCCTAGCAAAGGAACTGAAAAATAATTTCAGAGAAAACTAAAGAAAGGAAGAAAGGAAATGGAGGGCCATACGGAGCCTTGGCAGCAACTCCTGAATGAGGAAAAGAGGGGAGGGGAGGCGCTAAATTATCTTGGAGGCCAAGCTGTGTCATGGGGTCCTGAGCTAGTCTTACTGCATGAAAAGGGTAGACTTTAGTGATTTCTTTAAAATACTTTGCACTTTTGCTTTCTGTTACAATCATAGAGAAAGAAAGTTGTAGAAGAACTGAAATTATGTATTGCTGTGCATGCTTTTTAAGTTGCATTTATATAATTATTACTAATAACTGGACGTAGGGTTAGAAAATCACTGTTCAGTAACCTAAGGATTCACAAGTGTAGAAATCCCATTCTTTACATGATGAGGGAAAAGCACAGATTTTTACTTTGTAGCAACACCTAAACCTTGTGCTCTAAAGGTAGATTTTAAAAGACAATACAATGCAAGTGTGACTTTCTGAGGGTGATCTCAGTTATATGTTACCTAGGTTCTTAGAGACAGGATCTAGCATAGAATGAATTCAGCACTGGAAATCACAGCTTAGTAATACCATTCTTGTCTTGATGTGTGCTGTTGCTCCCAGCAAGTTCTGTAGGCTGTTATCTTCTGAGAAATCTCTGTAAATGGTATTAGTAATACTTTATAAGTAGATTGGGAGAATTTATTTTTCTAAAGCACTTTAAAATTCTTTGGTGAAAAGCTCTGTATGGAGCAGATTGGTGTCAGCCTGTTTTTCCTCCTCTGAGCCAGAAAGAAAATAGGCACTTTAGGGTGGAAAGTTTGGCTTATCTTTTGGGGTTCTTTTTTTTTTTTTTTAACATTTTTTATTGATTTATAATCATTTTACAATGTTGTGTCAAATTCCAGTGTAGAGCACAATTTTTCAGTTATACATGAATATATATATATTCATTGTCACATTTTTTTCTCTGAGCTACCATAAGATCTTGTATATATTTTCCTGTGCTATGCAGTATAATCTTGTTTATCTATTCTACATGGAGTTCTTTTATAAATTGCCTTTATTGAATTTGAAATGGGTATCAGAAGCTCCCAAGAATAAGGTTAACTATAAAAGCAAAGTTTTATGGATTTGGAACTTGGAAGTATGTGTTTTCATCAAAGATTTAAAACAGATTTAAATATTAATTTGTAATTGGCCAGACTTGGGGGGAAAATATATCCTTTGATGATTCTGGGTCTGAACTTTTTCTCTTGCTTTTTTTTTTTTTGTATTTCAGAGAAGGGATAAGGCTAGTTTTCTGAAAAGTAGTTAACTTTTATTTTCAATATGTAAGATCTGTTTCTTCCACTAATCTGTAAAATCGGTATTTCTGCCAAATAAGTTGCAGTAGATGCTGGAACAGAGTTTCATCTACACTAATACGTTCCAGTGTGCATACTTAAATGTATTCATGTGAAAACAGTTTTGCTTGGACGATTTAAAACCAAGTTCTTGCTTTAGGGAAGCTAAAAGTCTAATAAGCCAGAGTAATATATATCACAAGTAACCATAATGCATAGTTACTGAAAAATACGTGTTTCTTCCTGAATTACCATTACTTAAAAAAAATAATGGTGGACAATGAGGAATATAACTATTGAGTAATTTAAAAGTACTGGGCTTTGCTGTTCATGCATTTGCAAGAAACTTTCCGGTAATGTCAAAGAAAAATGAACCACTATAGATGTATAGGAAGGAAGGTAGGGCCAGTGTACTTCCTGGTGCCTTGAAACTGGAGCTGACAGATGCAGTGTGGTGGTTCCTCTCCCTCTCTTCCTGTGACTGATGAGCTGAGCCCTTTTTCCAGCTGTATGTGATGTTCCAGTGAACTAGTGAGTGTATTTTTCAGCGTACATTAAGTCACCTGATTTAGCATTCATGTTCCTATAATACTGTGTTTAAAATCTTAATAGGTTTTTGTCCTTTTAGGGTTCAGATTTACTATCCATTCGGTCTGAAACCTTTACTTTTGGCAGGCTTCCAAATAAACAGCTCTTTGGAAAACCCCTACCCATTTTATTCTTCCCTTGGGTGGTGGAGAACCAAAGACCACTTGTGTAAAGCTGGAAGACGAGGGTGGGGCGGTGGGGGAGTACACCTTTGTGCATGCGCTGGCTCTGACACAGGCACACACGGTGAACCCGCTCCCCACGGGGATAGGTTGGAGAGGATTTGGCCTTTGAAGGCTTTTGAGGGCCCAGGAAGATAATTAACCCAATTTACATTTGTATAATGAAGAATGAGTTCCTGGCAACCACTTTGCAAATGAATCCTGAGAATTCCGTCTATCTGTAACGGAGATGCTGCAGGTCACGACCCTTGGCTTTATGAGCAGTTTATAATTTAGCCAGATTTGGTTCCCCCCAAAAACTAAAAAATGTCCCAACTTTTAATAATATGAAAGAAAGAACGCTGCTACAATATGTGACAACAAATATTTTAAAGCCACAGGAAATTTAGTCACCCCACAATTTTGTCATGAGTTTGTCCAAGTGTTTCATTGAAAGCTAGATGGCCCTGTCAGTAAACGCCAGAATAGCACCTCTCGCATGAACCAGTGGCACTCCAGTGTGGGGTTGGG